GGACGGACAGTGACATCACTTCCTTTGACTCTATTGTTTCCATTCTCCTTCCACACTTTTTATTTCTTTCTCTTATTAAAAGTTATAATAATGACATTTTTCCAGATTATTTCACTTATAACTCGAACTTTTTCATCAATATTAAGGAATCATTAACTTAAAACAAGCTCCCATATTTTTGTTAGTTACTTGTAAGCTGTCTGATGTCAGCAGTTCTATATCTGCTCTAGAAACCAGAAATACATTTTGTTTCTGCAGTGTAATTCGTTAACATCTAACTCCTCCTTCCTTCAGCGGCTCTATAACACAAACTGACCACATTTATTGAATAAACTACATGTTTATAGAGAAAATCTCCCAGTCAGAAGTAATCAGACCCAATCAGCTGATTTTCAAAGCAGCTTCCCGGCTAACTGCTCTCTGGTCGTTTCACATGACTGGGTTTCTCTGGAAGCAGCAGAACTGTTGACGCCTTCGGCATCATGAGGTTTCACATCTTCAGGAACACGCACATCACAAGACAGCCTAGTGAGTCCGACTGGCGCTGGCTGCGGTCACCTCAGGTAAACCAGCAGCAGGCAGACCTCCAACATGCCCAGCTGACTGCAGCTACAGGCAGAAGGCTGAAATCAGAATAAATTGGTTCCAAAACCAAGTCCGTTATCCATCTTCACCAGAATCCAGATGACTCTGATTCAAGGAAAAGAAACCGGCCGAAAGGACAGAAAGCTCATTATGGAATTTATTACATTGTGACAGTGAATAAACTGTAAAAACATTCAGTGTCTTATCCAAAACAAACACTTGTCATGTACAGACAATGAAAATGCAATTATTAGATTTCTAATCATTTTAACCTGATCCAACATTTTAATAATCATGTTTAGTTAACCATAATTTAAATATAGTCTAAAAAAAGTCTGTCATATTTTAAGTTAATCAATTCAAAAGTGCACTTTCAACATCTTAGTCTTCAAAAATAAAATAAACTTATTGTGAAACGTACTGCGCAATATCAAACTTAAAAGTGTGGCTACATTCTGTTCTCATCAATTTTAAACTCCACTGTCCTTCAGTACAAAAGGGTCGGAACCCACAAAATATCACTGACGCACCAAACAGCCAGAGGGGGGCGCACTTGGTCAGCAACCAGCAATCCAGCAGAGGATTCAGACATAAAAACAGAAACTGCTCTCAGACGACAGACCCACCAGGCAGTCGAGGCCGTAGATTCGAAGAACTGCATCAATTTGTGTCGAAAACGCCAAACGCAGCACGCCACGACCTCTGGAGACGGAGGAGGAAGTCCTGACCTTGACCCCACGACCTCTGGAGACAGAGGAGGAAGTCCTGACCCTGACCCCACGACCTCTGGAGACAGAGGAGGAAGTCCTGACCCTGACACCACGACCTCTGGAGACAGAGGAGGAAGTCCTGACCCTGACCCCACGACCTCTGGAGACGGAGGAGGAAGTCCTGACCCCAACTGAGCTGGAGGCTTTAAAGAAGTTGGCAGAGTTTGGGGCAACACAGGAAGTGGGCCCACAAAAATAAAAGTCCCTGACAAATGAGTCGGGGCGGGTCGGACCGGACCGGACCGGAGTCGGGGCGGACCGGACCGGAGTCGGGTTCAGTTCTCTGCTTTCCACCCTGGAGCTGCTGTTCTCAGTTTGATTCCTGCAAAGCTGCTGGATTTCAATATTCAAATGTCATGAAAATCTGCTCCTCTTCCAGCTCCAGAGGAAAACATCCCAGATTGAAGCTGATGGAGAATCTGTGGAACAAAATAAAGATGAATCAGGAAACTAGAAGAGGAATTAGTGATTATAGAAAGGTTTGATTATTAAGAAGGCTCTGGATGACGCAACCTTTGACTAAAATTTACATAAAAGCAACAAAAAAGGTTTTCAGTAATAACTTTAGGTTCCATTGAATCTACATGCTTCATAGTTTACAGTCTTTCTGATCAGTTGCTGTTTGTCTGGGTTTGCATTTTACTGCTGATCAAATATGTCACTTTATTGTCATAATTAGCTGAATTTAATGTAGATTCAATGTAGATTACTACTGCAAAAGATTTAAGGCTGAAACAGTTTCAGTTATTGGAATAATCAACTAATTTAGTAATTGATTAACTGGAGTACACAGTTACACTTGGATCAGTAATTCAGCCAAAACTGTAAAAAGTAAACATTTTGCATTTAAGATAAAAAAAAACCCTTCAGTGCCAGTGAATCTGTTGCACCAGAACTGGTTCACTTTCTGTAAAACAAATCTATTAATCAGCTTTTGAATTCAGTTATTAATCAGTTAATCAATAATAATCTCCTGATCAGCTCTACTGACTCAGCAGAAAGCCTGAGTTTTTCTCATGTTGGAGGATCGTTTGCTAGAAAAGATCAAACATTCACTAAAAGAATATCATCAGCTTTTACGTAATAAATTGTTTTTCTTATTTAAAAAGTATTTATTTATATTTTTCATGTATTCTTAATATTGCAAACTTAAACGTAACCAGTTAAACAAAAAATCTGCAGAATGTGCCAATTTTTTTATCTAATCAATTAATCATTATAATGGTTGATAAATCACGGAATTGGTTGATTGATCATTATCATGGTCGGTTAATTGATTACTAGAATAATCATCAGCTGCGGGCCTGAATAGGTTCAGAGCCTTGATGAACGATGAGCTTCTAGACGTGGTGATTTCAGAGCGAGCTCACCGCATGACGCTGGGCAGCAGTCCCCTTAAAACACTGCTGTGGTTCTACTTAGCATTAGCATTAGCATGCTAACCCTCATGATGACGGAACTTGGTTTTAGTTTTAAAGTGAAACTCTGGGATTGTTGCAGGTGCCACCAAGGAGATCGGCTCAGCGCTCACCAGGATGTGCATGAGGCACCGCAGCATCGAGTCCAAGCTCAAACTGTTCACCATGTAAGACACACACACACACACACACACACACACACTCGCTCCCCTCCGGCTGCTGCATGTGGCCGTACGTCAGGAGAGTAATTCAGCGTCTGGTTCCCACACTGTCAGATGAAACGTGTCATCGCAGCAGCATGCAGCCGTCTGTCCTCCCCGCCTGCTGTGTGTGTGTGTGTGTGTGTGTGTGTGTGTGTGTGTGTGTGTGCGCGCGCGCCATGTTTTCGATGCCTTGTGGGGACCGTTTTCCTGACACATATCACGCTGTGGGTCCTCACAAGGAGAGATGCTGTTTTTGGGTTCGGCTGCAGAATGAGTGGAAAGTTCCCTCAAAGATAGAGACATGAAGCCGTTTTAGCCGTTTCAGCTGCAGCTTCACTCGTTATTTCACTGCACTGCAAAAACACAAAATCTCACCGAGCGCTAAAACGATTCCTTGAATAACTCGGGTTTCTCCATTCCTAAAAAGCTTTGAGGCAATTCGCCCGCTTTAAAGATTTGTTAAATGTAATGAATCCTGTTAAACTATTCTAAGCTCTGTGATTTAGCAAGAAGGTTTTTGCTGTTGCGCGACGTTTCCGCTAGCAGCTATGCTACTAACATACGTATGCTAAGAGCTAGTTTTAGCTGTGGAGGTAGACATGAAGCGCCCAGAAAATAACAAACAGTCCAAAGTTTAACAAACTTTTCCAAACTCCAAGCGGAGTTTGGAATTAGCTTTTCATGTTAGCATGTCTTCAATGTTGCAGCTGCTGAACAGAAATAACCGGCTGCAGACATCGACCTCATCCAGGTACTCACTGGAGTAACGGTCATCGTAAATATTTTCTTGGCAAAATACATTATGTGACAGTTTCTCAGGTTACAGATGACAAGGAACGAGACTTTGGCTAATATTACATGAACCAACTGATCACAGTAGCTACCTATCAAGGTGCTAGCTAACACGCCGCTAGCTAACAGTGTGTGAAAATAGCTGCTACTGTGTCAGGTAAAGATAAAAGCAGAGCAAGATATTGATGACAGGAGACAAAACATTTATGACTTAAATTAGGTTCTTGGAGTGAATATCTCTGGTCTTCAAGTATTTGTAGTCAATTGGATTTAGTCGGATCATTTCAGAGTTGAAGCTGGAGATTTGACATGGTGTTGAATTTAAGCAATAAAATAAAAATAAAAATCATTTTAATGGGTTGCTAAAGGTTTGAAAGGTGTAAGTAGTTTTTGCAGAACCTGATGTTTATAGTTTTTGTCTGATTACTTGATTAATCACCTGCATATTTATAGATTACATGAATGTATAAATGTATGAATGATTGTGGCCCTAGTGTAAATATCTGAGTTTCCAGTTTCACTGGACAAGTGCTAAAAGCTCAAATCATTTATTACTCTACCATGTATGTAATGTCGGTAAATGTCTTATCAGTACATTGCTAGTTTCAAATATAACAGAAATATTTTTTGCTAGTGATTATATAGTATTATTGCACCTTAGTATGAAGGTCAGGACTGTATGTCATTGAGCGATCCTGTTATTAGAGACATTGTTGTGAAAATGTTTACAGTTTTTGTACGCGGTGTTGAGCCTAATCTGGTGCAGCAGGAAGCTGATGCCGGGTCTCTCCGTATTTTCAGAGCGCTGTCAGAAAGTCTCATCGTGCCTCTGGAGTTAAAGATGGAGGAGTGGAAGAAAGCGGCAAGCCAGCTGGACAAAGACCATGCTAAAGGTAGGCCCCGCCCCCGCCGCTGCACACAGCCAGTTCCCGCCCTCATTCACAACTTCCTGTTCCTGTTCAGAATACAAGAAGGCCAGAGCCGACATCAAGAAGAAGTCCTCAGACACCATCAAGCTGCAAAAGAAAGTGAAGAAAGGTGAGAAGCTGCTTTGCTGTCCTGTGAAAATCTCTGAAGGAGGAAACAAGCGGCTGCTAACAGCTGCTAGTGGCTTTAGCGCTGAGGCAGCAGATAAAACTGTTTTCGCTCAGGTGAGCCTTTCACCTGGACTGGCCAGATGTTTCTGCCACCTAACGAACCAGGTGTTCCTTTTCCTGATAATGTTGTGGAAGGACGAACTCTTTCCTCTCTGTGGATATAAACCATTGTTTACCAGAGATCAGCTGCAGTGCGGCCGCCTCTGGTCCTGCTGGGCTTCACTTTGCACCCGCTTGTTCAGACGAGGTCCGCTGTAAACCCAGCTAGCGGCTGCAGCCTTGCTGCTTGAAGCGTTGCCATGGGAACCAGAATCTGCCTCACCTGGCCCTCACCGGCTGGTGCCATAGCTACGACCACATCCCATAATTAAAACCAGACATGCAGAAATTGGAAGTCAATATTCAGACGGGGAATAGTGGGAATATTTCCCTTGGGCCACCAGTGTTACTGGGAGACAAGACTGGCCCAGTCCTGGCTGCCAGTAACACCCAGTTTGCCCACCAGTCACTTTAGACTCTGTATTTTTATTTTTTAGCACTTTTACAGAATTTCTGCATATTACAGATGCAGAGAATTAATTGACTTACAGTCTATTGATTATTAATGGTTTATTAGATTTAAATTGGTTCCAATCAATTAGCTATGTCTGCTTTTTAGTGCTGTAGTTTGGCCTCCGTCCAGCAGGGGGCGCTGTTGCTCACCCTGAAACAAAGCCTGTGATACAGAGTCAAAGATGGCGGCTGTTTCCTGAAACGGGAAACGGAAACGGTCCAAACAAAGTCCGGCTTTATGATACTAATAAACAAGTAATTGAATTCAGTTTTAGATTAAAGAAAAATGTTATTGTCCAAAAGTTAAAATCAGCATTCCTTTGATCATTTGTAGCAAACGATGAATCTACAGATAAAAATCCTTCAACATGAGAAAGGATTTTGCTGATCTGGAGATTATTATTGATTAACTGATTAATAACTGGAGGTGATTAATAGATTACTTTGCAGAATGTAAACCAGGCGAAGGTAAAGCTGAACCAGAGAGGAGATTCACAGAAAGTTTTTTTTATTTTTTTATATGTTCAGATTTTTTGTTCAGTTTTCTTTGAATTTCTGCTCTGTGTTGATTTTTATTCTCAGTTAACGATTAATCGATTACTAAATTATTTCAGTAATCCGTTTATCTGATTGTTTAGATCAACGATGTTAAAACAGCTGCCTGTGTTGTAGAACATCAGGAGAGCCGGCCCAAGGCATAAGCAAGCTTGGCTGCTGCTAGGACTGAATTAAATCACAGGCCAAATATCTATCAAGTTGATTATTGGAGCTGAATTGATATTTTCTGCACAGAAACATTAAAGATTTTAAACAGTTAAAACTAAAGGTTTGTGAAAGTAGAAAAATATTTGTTACCATAGTTACAAGCTCAAACACAGTTTTGTCTTTGTGTTTGAGCTTCTGATAAATCTCAGTAAATAATAACCAATTATTGGTTTAAGTCTCTTATAAGAGGCTTAAGCTCCTCTGGAGGTTTCTGAGTCTGAATCCCTGGCTCTCTGGTCGCTCCACAGGGAAGGGCGACGCTCGCGGCCAGCTGGACTGCGCTCTGCAGGACGTCAACACGCGCTACGCCGCGCTGGAGGAGACGGAGAAACGGGCCGTGTGCCGCGCGTTGGTGGAAGAACGATCTCGCTACTGCAGCTTCGTCAGCATGCTGAAGCCAGTCCTGGTCAGCGCTCCGCCGCCTCACTCTCTGAAACACACACCGACACTAATACACACTCTAAACCTCTGAAACTCTGTGTGTTCCTGTGTATTTGTGTGTGTTCCTGAGGTTCCTGTGTTTTGTCCCTCAGGACCATGAGATCAACATGCTGGGTGAAGTGACCCACCTGCAGACCATCCTGGAGGACCTGAGCGTTCTGACGGCTGAGCCCACCAAGCTGCCAGCCGCCAGCGAACAGGTCTCCTGTCCTGCTCCGTTTCTGTTTCTCAAAGAAAACAGATTTTTACTGTTTCTAGATCCAAGCTAGGGCGGGGCAGTTAGCCAGTTTTATTTAACAAAAAATCCAGATTTTTTTTGTTAAATCTGGATTTTTTCCCTCCCTGGGTTTCCATAGTTCAGAGTGATGTCATCATCCAGGGCGGCCATTTTGTTTGACAGTCGTGTTTTACAGCTTCTGTTTATTTACCTTTAGTCTAGGTCAGCTCTGTGACAGACTATCAGGGCCAGGCTGTGATTTTTTATTATAATTATGAGAGTAAGATCATAATATTACAAAATACAAACATAACAAGGTTTTAACAGCATCATAATAAAGTCATAATAGTAGGAAAATAAAGTAGAAAAAAAGGAATGTTGAACATCTAGGGAATGTAAAGAATAAATTTCGTCTCTTGAAGTTGTTTTTCTTCTCTTCAGGTGATTTTGGATCTGAAAGGTTCGGACTTTAACTATACCTACCAGACCCCCCCCGGCTCCCCTGGCAACATGTCCAGGAAGAGCAGCATCAGCAGGTAAGCCTCACCTTTACAATCAACTGTGTAGTTATTTATTATTACGTGGCAGTTATTTAATATTCAGGGGTCACGTTAACCAAATATTTTCCGTATTTGACTGTTTTGGGGGGGGTTTTCCAGCAACAGACAAATTTGAATCCCGTCTGTAATTTTGACAGGTTATAGTTCACACCTTTATCTGGAGCACATGGGCAGACATGATCGTAGTGTTTCTATCAGTCAGACCCCCTGCATGTTTTATGTGTCAGACCTGGACTGAAGCTGCTGTACTGATGGCTGCAGAAGACGTCATGCAAACATTTGGATTATCTGTTCTGGATTAGAGGCTCATCTAAAGCATGCAGAGCAGGGGGCCTGGGAACTGGAATTGAGAAGCACTGCAGTATAGACTTTAGCATCTGTCTGTTTCGGCGAAGCGAAACCACGCAAAAAAAATCCTGGCAAAAATGCGAACCGGGCCACACAGGGTAAAAAACACGCCTAATTCAATTGATCGGTTCGATCAGACAGATCCAACTGCCCGATGAACCAGCGCAGATTTCTCTGTAGATGCGACCAGGAGGAATTTATAAAGCTGTGCGTTCAGACCGCAGTAGGTGATGTAATTTAAGTGGAGTCTTTTAATTTTATTATAAGTTATTGGGGCCTCAGTCAGTGGTTTGTGTCACTACGGAGAAAAAGTTATAGATGCTTTCATCTGCTTTATGTGTGAAGGAATCAGGATTCAAGGTTCAACTAGTGAATATTAACTAAACCGCATAAAAATACGTCTAAATAGTTGATGTTAATATGATTATAATTTGATGAGTAAAAATAGAACATGACCAATTTTGTTTTTAATGCTGTCTGTCAAAATGACGGTTTGTTTCCAATCAAATTTCTGTTATTATTACAGTAGTTATTTATTATTACACATTAGATATTATTACACTGTAGTTACTTATTGTTACACAGTAGTTATTTATTGGGACCTGCCCATAGCTTCGCAAGGCAGTCACAAACATACATACAATACAAAACAAACATAAAAAAAGATTAATATTGTTGCACCGCATACAGCGGTGCATAATATTAAGCTTTTTTATGTTTTTTTTCTCAGGATAGTGAACTGCCTTGCGCAGCAAGGCAGTTCATTAACATTAGCATTTCATGGTTGTCTCAAAGATAGAAATCCTTCCCCAGCTTTCTGTCTCACACACACAGCAGTCAGCTGAGGATTCATCGCTATAGCAACAGAATCCAGAGAAAGGCAGAGCTGCTGGTTTGGACTACAAACCAGCAGCCATAACTGCCATAACTGTAGTTCTATCTATGGCCAAGACTCAGTTAAAACAGAGGCCTGAGCAGCATGTCAGAACTACAACATGGCGGAACTGTCTGTTACTATAGAGGAGGAGTTGGCTGGTATTCTGAACTACTTGTGCTTTGAGCATTATATAACTGATTTAACCCGATCACTATTACACATGAAATCAGTGTGGCCATTTCAAATGAAGCTTATTGAAAATTTTCAAAATAAAAGCCTTGACAATTTTTACATCATGTGTAGATAACTGGTTTAACCAAACCACTGTTACACATGGGATTAGTGTTGCCATTTCAAATGAAGCTTAATGAAAGTTTCAAAATAAAAGCCTGCATGCTCCCCTCACGTCAGTGCACCGCTGTAGGCGGTGCAATAATATTAAACTTTTTTTATGTTTGTTTTCTCAGGATAGTGAACTGCCTTGCGTAGCAAGGCAGTTTATTAACATTAGCATAAACATTAGCATTTCACTGCCACCCACTAGTGCACTTCCTTGCACGCATTAGCATTTTACCTAAAATAACCTATTAGTTCATTTTCTTACTTATTTGCCAAGTTTAGTATACTGAATGGAGTAAGTCAATAACAGACAACATGCTAGTGATGCCCCACATGCTACTGATAGTCTTCATGCTAACATTAGCATTTTGGCATATTTTAGTTTATGCATTAATTTTAACACACTGAATGGTACAAGTACAGCTTAGTCCACATGCTTCTGACTCTCCACAGGTTATTGACTACATTGAAGCTTTCTTTAGCATTAATGCTAATTTTTAGCATCAGAACGCTGGGTCCAAACCGACGGGCACACTTTGGCAGGCCCCTCAAAATTTCTGCAGGAATTTTCTAGTTATTACACTGTAATTACTAAGTAACTGTGTAATAATAAGTAACTACTGTGTAATAAGTAACAGCAGTTACTTATTATTACACGTAGTTACTTATTATTACACAGTAGTTATTTATTATTAAACTGTAGTTACTAAGTAACTGTGTAATAATTAACTAATGTGTAATAATAAGTAACAGCAATTATTATTACACAGTAGTTACTTATTATTACACGCTCACATACAGGTACAACTGTTCTGATTGTTTTCTGTCTTGTTGCAGTTACCAGTCGGTGTCGGTGAGGCACGTTCCCTCGTTGGACTCCATCAGCTGTGCTGTGGATGGCGTTCACCTGCAGGTAGCAAACAGCAGAAGAATCCTTCATGCAGCTTTGCTGCTTTTTACTGAGTTCTGAATGGAGGCGAGACTTTTAACCTTTTGTCTGTTTAGAGTCCAGGACTCACCTGTATGACAAAACTTTGTGAATTAATTTATGAATTTACTGTGATCACACACTGATGTGGGGAACTGATGTTTGAACGTCCTGTTCTGGCTGGAAGGAGCTAATGCTGCAGCAAGAAAAAGTTTAAAGATTTCATGATTAGCTGTAATTATCGATAGTCATTATCTTACTGATGTAAGAACAATAAAAATACTGTAGCCTGCTTAGTCTTTATGAATGTAAGTAAAGTATCACATAAATGTGACTGTGTTGAAGCAGAAATGCATTCTGGGTAAATGGCGTATGCTAGGAGTTCATTAAAAATCACTTTGGTTAGCTGCAATGAGGCTGGGTACTGATGTTACTTCACATAACCCCAACCTTAAAACCCAAAACGTTCCCTTAGCTCCCAACCAGCTGCAGCTTCTGCCCCCTTCTGGTCGTTCAGTGAACTGCAGGGACGATCACTTTAATCTAAATTAATTCTACTTCCACTCCCTCCTTGGAATTTCAAAATAAGAGCCTTTCAGCTGTGGTTTCTCCTGTGTAGCCTGCCACCCCTTACCTGCTGTACGGCTGTGATGAAGGTGGGCGGTCCCTCAGCGAGGGCAACTCCCCCTCCCGTATCAGTCGCCATGGTAACCACAGCCCTGTTGCCGGCTACAGGCGGTGTGGCGCTCAGAGCCGCCGGGTTAGCCGCCGGGACGTGAGTGCCATGAGGATTACAGTTAGTACCCCCATCATGACATCATCATGACCCCTCATAGTGCCTCATCATGACTTCCTGTTGGTCATCTTGACTTCCTGTTGTTCACCTTGACTTCCTGTTGTTCACCATGACTTCCTGTTGGTCACCTTGACTTCCTGTTGTTCACAATGACTTCCTGTTGGTCACCATGACCAACAACACCTTTGGTAGCATCCATGATGTTTGACAGTAAGTTCTGGTTCTGATGCTGACCCAGATTTCTGACCCATTGTGTGTGTCAGGATGCAGTGGTTACCACCCAGCCACCTGCAGGGGGCGCAGAGAACGGCCTGCTGCCCCCCCCCCACAGCGCCTACATCCATCATCACGGCGAGCGAGCCAGAGCCATGTCAGCATCTGGGAAGGTAACCAACCGATCACCAATAATATTATTACTTGACCAACCGATCACCAATATTATTATTTGACCAACCGATCCGATGTATAGCCTCTTCAAAATCATCTCTGAATGAATCAGAGAATGAATCAGCTGGTTGGTCCGTTCAGGAGAAACTAAAGGAATGAAAGATGGAGAATTACTGAAGATCAACAAAATGCAGTAAAACTGAATCAACTGAATATTAAGCTGAGTCCGTCCTCTGGTCCCTGCAGTCATGCTCGGCGAGGGATCAGCTGGCGCTGACGTTGGGTGCGTTGAATTCGGACGCTCCGAGGAGCAGCAGGGACTCTCTGCACTGTTCGAGCGGCTACAGCACCCAGACCACCACGCCGTCCTGCTCCGAGGACACCATCCACACGCACAGTGAGTCCAGAGACGCAGCACAGCCTGCAGCTGAACTCTGCTGCTGAATGCTGCTGCTGAGCGCTGTTGCTGCTGCTGAATGATGCTGAATCCTGAATGCTGAATGCTGCTGAATGATGCTGAATGCTGCTTAATGCTGAATGCTGCTGAATGATGGTGAATGCTGTTTAATGCTGAATGATGCTGAATGATGCTTAATGCTGAATGCTGCTGAATGATGCTGAATGCTGCTTAATGCTGAATGCTGCTGAATGATGG